GAGAGAGAGAGAGAGAGAGAGAGAGAGAGAGAGAGAGAGAGAGAGAGAGAGACTTTATGTATAACATGATACGCAGATTGGCAGACATTTGAGGTAGGATTGTTTACAGAGTTCTGTGGAGCTTCCGGCTCTGAGCAGGCAAAGCATAGCTTTTGTGCATAGTGAGGCTGGTTAAGCACAACTTTTGTGTATGGCGATAGTATTGGGCTGTGAGATAATGCCGCAGGTTGACAGTATGTCTTCTTGCTGTGTGACACTCTTACACCTTGACACGAATGTAACTCATTTGTGATGAACGTCTGCGCTCAGGACGGGTCTACGGGTGTGACGAATGGCCTCATCAAACGATCTTTATGCTTCTCTGTGGATGCGACACACCAACTCTTTCAATTGGAAGGCCCAGAGCCAGGAAGGGCCCGCGCGCGTCCCCCGCGCTCGCGCGAGTGTGAAGAAACCCGCGCCTGTTTACCCGGCGCACATGAGGGGAAAACCACTCAAACGGATATATCGATCGTTCTGACTACAGTACAATGAAGAGTTACCGGTATAGCTAGCGCTGCGCGGAATTGATATTGTTATGGATACTGTTCCAGATATAGTTACGGAGATAACGTTTGGCGGGTATTGTTACGTATCAAGGTCAATTCCAGTCCGGCCTGTCGTCTAGGACGAACACCACCTGTCTCGCAACGGGGTCGCGAGGTGGTTTGTCAGCAGCAGCAGCAGCGGTACCGTTAGCAGCCGCGCGCGCGCGCACGAGCGAGCGAGCGAGCGAGCGAGAGAGAGAGAGAGAGAGAGAGAGAGAGAGAGAGAGAGAGAGAGAGAGAGAGAGAGAGAGGTGAGAGTGTGAGTAGCCCGGGCGGCACTCAGCTGCAACTACTGGGCGAGCATTGTTTGGCACCGGTAACGTGGAGAGGGGGCACTGGCGCGTTGGGCGACGAGTTGTCTAATAGCAGACGCCTTGTGCGGGACCCTACTGTGCCCCTTTCTGTTTCTTTTGGGGGAGAGAGAGAGAGAGAGGAGAGGGGGGGGTAACTTGAGGGGCACTGGTGTCTCTGCGACCATGATGGCGTGGATTGGAGAGCTTTCTCATGGACGAATGGCAATGGCTGTGGGGAAGACGACGTCAGAGGTGTCGAAGGAGGTGGGAGGAAGCGATCTAGCGAGCTTGTCTATTATGGTGCAGATGATAATGCTAATCATTGCTTTCATCATAGGTCACATACTTCGACGCAGGAACATCTTAATCATTTCCGAAGCTGCAGCTGCGTTGCTTTTAGGTGAGTTGCAGACTTAAACAACCACCCTTGCTGTGCGATCTGTTTGGTGAGGTGTCCTCCTGGATTTGTTTTTCTTCTCGTTGTTGTCGTACTGGAAGGGCGGAGGAGGGGTTCAGTGGTCCCGGGCGGGATGCGGGAGATGGGGTTGAGCAGCAAGTGGATGTGGGGAATATAGAAAATGCGTGTTAGGAAATTTGCAGATAGCCAGTAGCATGAAATCGTTTGTTAGTGTGCCCACGGGTAGATGGCCAGGTGAATGATGAGTGGAGAGGGACGAAGAATCCGTCTAAATGGACTCCAACCGACCAGGAAAGAGTCTGTAGCAACCCCACATTTGTGTTTTTCTCTCCATTCTGCCTCTGGTTCACGAGGTTGTTCTTTGTGGCAATCTTCGAATCCACTCTTTGTCAGTAGCTAGCTGCGTCCGTACAGAGTATGCGTATGCTCCGTTTACATGCTATAGACAAACGCAGTACTAGCAAATAGTGCATTTGTGGGGCACAGCCAGATATGTGGGTGCGCAACGTTAGGGTACAACTTTTGCGTGCTTGAGTTCTGTATTCAAACCGAGACGTTGAAGATAGTTCCACCTTAGCTTTCAATGTTTGTACGGTTAAATGGGAAGTGCCACACGGCCGACTGCGTGGCAGAGGGACACGTGTTCCTTTGCTTTCGCAAATGCTCCTATCTTTAATTCGTAAATCTTCGTTTTCTCCTTTTTCTTGGAGAAACATCTTCTTTTTGTTCTCTTCATGTCCAGCTCCATCATCACTTTGCTGATTCATTTTTCTTTTCTCTTCATGTCTCTACTGTAGATACGCTACCAGGGAACACTGGCCAGCCCGTCCACAAGGAGCAGGTTTTTTTCATAGTGTTGGTGCGAGAGCGAAGTTGTACTGACCCCTCGTCCTGTTGAGTCAAGAATATGGGCAGGCGTCTTTGGTGGGGGAACACAGGCAGTGCTAGTCCTAGCATGGCGGCCAGTCGCTGCCCCTCCCCCCCCACAACAAGCTCACATTGGCTGTGTCTAACAGCCAATATAGTTGTTGCATGGCACCGACCAATAGATCCTCCTCATGGTGATGCAGGGATGGATAGGCGTCCCCTGTGCGGGAACACAGGCAGTGCTAGTGCTGAGCATGGTGGCCAGTTGCTGCAACTCCCCTGTCCCCCCCCCCCCCAACCTATATTATCTGTGTCTAACAGCCAATATACTTATTGCATCGCACGGACCTACGGAGCAAGAGTGGATAAGCTCCTGCCAATGCTAGCGTGAGTTGCAGGTGGGCTATCTCTAGATGGTAGGGCACCAAGCATGCCCAGGTACGTACACCAGGCAATAGGAATTGAACCCACGAACTCCTGAATGCAGCCTGTGTGCCAGAACCTTAAGGTTCTGGCTCCATATCCATTCGGGGGACCGTCAGTTCTATTCCTTTTCCATGACTGACCGTGAGGGCACGGGTGCGCAGCCCATAGTTTGTATGTTGTTGTGTTCGGGAAAGGGTAAGGTAGTGGTTAGGCTGTGTGTTGGCCGCCAAAAACGTGAGGAGTGCAGGTAAAAGCCATAGATCCAATGTCAGGTCCCTAAGGCCCATGCAGCCTAAAGGCCTATAGATCCAAAGTCAGGCCCTGCTGTGTCCGACCATGCCGTAGAGGGAGAGAGGAAGAACAACACTGGATTGCAGTTAAGGTACCTTTTTTTAACAAGAAAATGTTGGTTTTGGCCCAGTGCCCAAGGCAAAACTGGACCTTGCACGGTACACCCACGAACTGTTGAAATACAGACCGAAGTTTGAATCCAGTTACCAACTTACAATGTGCAATCGGACTTGTCTTTCTCTACACTCAGCATGCGTACAAACAGATGACGATCAAGCTGGCGACTTGCGCCCACACAAAGCTCAGAGATAATGAAGCCAAGAACGCAGCTCAGATTCAAACTGGCCGACCTCTGCACTCTCAGCAACTTGTTCGTACACACACCCTGGATCTCCCTGGATGTCCCCCCCACACACACACACTTCACACTTACACACACACACCTACTAACACTCTAATCTCGCTGACGCGCGGCTATGGCCGCCGCCTCTCTCCTCTACTGACTAACTATCGGCTATGGCCGATCTTCCTCCTCTT